TCCATTTGGTTTTAACCGATCTTCTACCAAAGGTAGAACTAGAATTAAAATTTAAGAATGTCCAGAATTACCAAAATGCCCTTTTGCAAAAATAATTTCGAAAATGATATTTAATTCAAAATAATTTTTAAAAAATTATGAAAATCAAATTTAAACTTCTAGTAACTATTTTAGACATTTATTATTCTGAAAAATAAATTTACAGAATTATAAATATTTATTTCCCAAATATATTAATTATATCTCATTAATTGCGTAAAATAATTTTAAATAATATTTCAAAAATAATTAAATTATAAATTTAATATTTTTAAAAAGTAAAATTTTTAGTTGCTGAGATATAATTTCCAAAATGATATTAGTCATTTTTCAATTAATACACACACACACACACACATATATATACATATGTATGTATGTATATACAATTAATTACTAACTTATACTATTCTGTCCAATATATTAATGAACAACTTTATTTTACCTAGAAATAATATTTCCAAGTTTTATAAATTTCATTTTTAGTTTTCAATATTTATTTAAGATTTATTGGAATGAAATATAAACAAATACAATTAACTCAAAAATTGGAAATAAAAAATTTCGAAAATAACAAGATAATGTTAGTAACCATAAAATGATATTTATTTCAAATAAAATTTTATTTACAATTTCCAAATATGTATACTAATATATATTTTCCAAATTTCCGGATACATATATCAAATACATATTTTTAGCACAAATAAATAAAGAATATTTATTTCAATGATTTGTTTAAGTCTAATATTTATTTCAAGACTACAATAAATCATTTTACTAATTTTCGAGATTAACAAATAAATACCAAGTTAAAGTTTAATTTCTAACAAAAAAAGTTTTACGAAAAATTATAGTTTCGTACGTTGGCTCTGATACCACTGAAAGGTAACCATGGTTAGGAGGGCAGCGGAAAAACAAAAATTTAAACTTCCAATAGTGATTAGTAGCCTAAGAACACATACTAAAATTATAGCTAGAGATAGAAACTCATACCTTCTCCGGTAAGCGGTAATAACGTTGAATGAGCAAATGTAGCCGTTCAAGCGTCCGGCCTCCAACTTTGATACACGAACCATTTCCGAAGTCTACTATAACCTTATGCTAGTAAAGATTAAAATAGTATATTTAATATAAATATTTAAGAGGGATAGTATTAATCTTGGAAATTAAATAGTAGAAAATATATCAATAATATTTTAAATAAAATATTATAACAATTTTCTACACCCAAAATGATAAAATTTTATTTCAAAACTCTCCCCTCTTCTTCAACTCTTCTGCACATCACTCACACAAAAGGAAGAGTTTAAAAGTTATGTTCATTCTTAGCCAATCATTCAAAACATTTCATGTGACAATGTGTCGTTTACTTCACACGTTCATGCACATACATTCCTTAAATAATGTATTTCAAAATGCTACAAAAAATGTATTTTATTTGATATCAATAATTTTTATGATATAAAATAAAATACCCAAATCATTTTAAAACAAGTATATAAAATATACTTTAAAATAGTTTTTATCAAAATAATTATTTTCATAATTAAGATGAAACTTCAAAAATAAAATGTACACAATATAATATATATTAGAATATATATATATATATATATATATATATATATATATATATATTTCCGTATATAATATATATACATATATTATATTAAAAAAATTTATTTTACTATTTTACAATATACAAATTAAATATTATCCTTTCTCATAATCTCACTCTTTAAATTGTCCAAAGTGTGTGACCCATATAGGCATTTATAAAACTGGCCATAGTATCTAGCAACACATTATTACCCCAGATTATAAGTTTAGACATTTGCTCCATCAAAACCTTTCCACGACTACGACTCCATGTAACGCAGATCCATTTGTCCCAATGTCTTAACATAATGCAAGGGATATAAAATCCACCCTGTACCAGTAAGTCATTCACTAATTAACAAGTGTGACTGAAGGGACACATGTCTTAACTCATCTCAGCATAGCCATTCATTCTTCGGTCATCTTATCAATGGGCCCCAATAAGACATTAGTTTCTCCTAAATTTGAGTGACAAATTCCATGTATGTACATCTCCGATTACGCGCAGCGGCATACCCAACGCAATGCCTGTATACCATCCTTATTTCATACGACTTAGGACAATGAATCAAAGTATGTGGGTTCACGTATTCGCGCTAAGGATAGTTAGAGCATAGACTATATGGTCTATGCAATGCCCTTTAGGTGGGTTGTAACATCCTCCGTCCCGTGAACCCGGTTCACCGCAGCCCAACGAGCCGGAGAGGTTACATAGACAGTTTTTAAGGCCATTTACAAGAAAAACCCTTACGTTGCTTGTAACTTAAAACCCCTTGATATATTTTATTAAATGATGAAAATAAATTCAATTAAAGAGAATGTCTCGTAGCGGAAGTAAATGTAAGTAAAATCATTAAGTCATAAATAAGAAGTACGACAAAGGTGGGTTCCAGCCCAAAACAAGTTTAAGGATTAAGTAGATAATTTATCGGGTCCACATTGTTGCTCATCCACCGCTCCGATCACCCAGTCATCCGAGTCATCCGGGTCAGGCTCCATGATCCTCTTGCCTACCTACGTATAGCAAAGGAAAACAATGCTATATACTCAGCAAAAGTTGAGTGATAATCTAACAGTAGAATGCATAACATATTCATATTGATATAAACATAATCGTACCTGTACCAAAGCACGAGATACCACATACAAGTTTGATGAATAAAAGTTTACGAATAAAAAATGATGCAACGCCAAATAATCATGATGCATGAGTTAGACTGCGCAGGGACCCCCTGCCCTTCGATGATCATCCCCACGCAGTAGATGAGCCAAGGAACGCCTTAGTCATCCCGATGGAGACTAGAATGTGGGTGATAGCTAAGCCTAGCTACCATGTACGTACACAAGCCCTTCATAATGAAAACCCATTGAATCCCGCAGGTTCCTGGATGGGCCCGCGGAAGAGGCGCACTAGGCCTGACCTCTTGTCGCGGTATGCAAAATATGCCATGATCCTAAACATGCGTATAGGATATACGTGATGATATGAATGCATTGGTTGAAGAATGAAATTATGTTCAATGCATACAAATATGTTTGATTCCATATGAAAACAACTTGTTCAACATGGCAGACCTGGGTTCAGAACTGGCTGATAATCGATTAACCACTATCCATAATCGATTATCATGTTGTGCAGCTTCTAATCCCAAAGTTCTGCAGGACATGATAGTCGATTGTCACTTCATGACAATCGATTGTCAAGGTATTTTGTTCAGGACACCCAAGTTCAGATAGGCCTGACAATCGATTATTGCTATGTGATAATAGATTATTAGTGAAACCAACCTCTGACTCGAGAATCCGCAAGGCCTGTGATAATCGATTATCACGCTTTACCGGATAAACTGAGGAGTTCAGCGTGGCCTGATAATCGATTATCATGTTCTGTAAATCGATTATCAAGGCACGCTGATTCCTGTTTTGTCTGTTTGATTGCCGTCATTACGTTGGAAGTTTTTGAGATATCCGCTTATGTTTTCGTATTAAGTAAGCTACGAATTTACGGGGTTTCAAAACGTTTATATTATCAATTACGAAATCGAATGGTCTGAACAATGAAGAGTCATGATAACGTGGATACACGTGGGCTTAGCCGGGTAATCCTATGAATATAACGATATGATTATACTATGAAGTCTAAAGTTAGAGGGCAACGTACTCACCTCTAAACGAAGGGGTTGACGGAACGATGAAATAAGATGAAGGAACGGACAAACAGTCGGCTTCTCACTTGAACTACTTTCCCTTCTACCTCCTCGTCTTCTCACCAGAAATCTTCCCGCCTGGATGCTGCTTTGGGTTGGCCGAAACACAAGAGTGGGAGACAGAGAGTTGTGGTGTTTGAATACCTTGGGGGTTACAAAGGTGAGGGGAGAATGAAGAGAGAGGTGGGGGTTTTAAATTAAAGAAATGAATAGGGAAATAATTAAAACAATAATGATGGAAGTTAAGGGGGAATGGGGGTGGCGTATGGGTATAATTGGGGAGTTATCTCCCAATAATTTTACTCTGTTATGTAAAATCTGACTTGAACGGTACGCGCTTCCCCCCCAAATGGGTCCGAATCAAGATCCACTAGCGTTTCTAGAATCAGACAGTCAAGACGAATATTATGACGTGATCAAATAATTTTTCTAGGGATTTTATTTTCCCAACCCCGGTCCGAGTTAGTAATTAATTAATTAAATTAATCAATTCTAATAGATCGGGTCTCAGGGCATTACATGAGTCATTTTCGGCATCCCATTAGTAACGATAATGTCTGTCCGAATGTAGATGAGAACACTCCGTCATTGACCTAGAGACTTGGTCAAACATCTAACACTCCCTAGTCTCAGATGTATTAACGATATCCCACTCTCGTCAATACTTTGACTATGGACCGTTTAGAATTATATCTTTACAAGACGTCAGTCTCAACATCACAAGACTCAATCTGATAAAGATCTTTAAAATATAATTCTAGGAATGTAATAGTCGTTTACATTACCATGAAATGTGTGTAAACAGATTACATTTGCCTTAACGTGATAGAAAATATCTAAGATATTACAACAACAGTTGGCCATAAGGGCCACCAGCTCCAACATATGTGTTGATGAATGTTAATCTATGAGTTAGTTCTAGCGTTAGATACTTCCACACTCTTTATTTTTACAGCTAGGGGTCAACGATTGGATGAACAACTTGGAAGACAGTGAAGCGTGATGCTGGTGGATGCCCTGAAGCTATTTGAAATTGAATTAATTGTTTGTTGACTTTATTTTGTTTCAACTACAAGAATATATTGATGATAATTGTTGAAACAAGGGTTTATCACGTTTTCGTACTAAAGCCGTGTTCGTCTTTTGTAACAGGTTTTGATAATGCCAAACCGCCGTGATCAAGTCGAACATTGAATATACAAGGCGAAGAACGAAGATAAGAGCAAGAGCTAAACGAAGACCAAGAACGAAGACCTTAATCATAGTATTGAGTCGGTCTTTATTGTGATCAAGACCGACCCAATCTTTACACCTTGGCTCTTTAGGCTAAAATCTCTCATTGCATTTCTTACATCATAAAAATGTTTTTCAAACTTTTTTAAGTCATTAAAAACACTTGGTGTTCGCCCAAACCAAAAACCAAGCCATCCGGCGTTCGGGTTTCAGAAACCGGCATTCGGCATTCGGTTTTCGGCGTTGGTTTTTGGCGTCCGAACTAACCAAGTGGTTTTCAACTTTTTATGATTGGTTTTCACTTCTGGGCACATTTAAATAGTTTTTCATCAAAAACACTTCAAAAACCACCTTTCGTTTTTTGTCGTTTGATAAAAACCATGTGAAACGGCATTAACTTAGCTAGCTGTGGTTTTTACTTAAATGAAGTGGTTTTCAAGTCTTTTTGTGTGGGAATTGTTTTTGGATGCATTTAAATGGTTCTCCAATCAAAACATCATGAAAACCACCTTTCGGTTTTGTCTTTTGGTGAAAACCACCCGTGTACGGTGTTGACTTGGTCAACCGTAGTTTTTACCTTAACGACGTGGTTTTCAACTTACAAAGCTTGTTTTGACATCAAAATACATTAAATAATTGTTTTATATACTTACTTTTTACTTTGGAGAACTTTGCATTTTTCGGTCGGGTTTCAGCGCCGGTCGGCTAGGCCATGGTTCTGGGCTAGCCATCTACCCAGCGATGGTAGATTTTACCCATGCATGGGTAAGTGATCCCGGGATTCCAGAATCATGCCACCCAGCGATGGGAAGATCTTCCCATCGATGGGTAAGCAGTCCCTTAGCCAAACCAATTTCCAGA